AAAATGGAGCGTAATATGCTCCGATACTGTCAACACAAGAACCTACACGTCCATGGAACCCAACAATAGCATTGTCTTCACTCTGCAGCACGAACGTGGTACCAGTCACTGTTCCGATTGATAAGGTTCTCCCCTTTGATGTTGTAAAAGTTAATGATCTAAGGACAATACATCCGTAAGGTTGTGTATTTGCATAGCTTCCTCCTACGGATGTCATATATTCATATGGATAGTTGACCGTTAGCTGTACATACAAAAACAATTTTAAAATAGTTTAGTAAATTTGGATACTAACAAACAAACATCTAGATCCCAAATAATAGAGCTAATTTAACATTAATTAGCGTTACACATGTTCACACAAATTAATTAACATATATCCAATAATAAACCAATGTATTAGCGTTACCTTATGTTCTATTCCCTTATTGTCCGCGTACTTGTCCCCGTACTCATAGCATTCCACCTGACCAGCTGTGTCATAGTCGACCCTCATATGCCTTATTGAGGTGCCATCGTAAATTACTTTCACTTGTCTTATGCCATCATAGTTACCACCATGATCATAACTTCTTCCTGTGGTTTGACCACCTTGCATTGCTGATTTGGTTGAAGGAATCCTGGTGAAATATGCTCCAATAGAGTTGAGATTCTTGTCAGCAAATCCATGAAACCCAATGATCTTCCTCCTGGTAGCACTTACTGAGAACTTAGTACCGGTGTTGAACCCCATCAAATCAGAAGTGTCCTTGTTAGTTTTGAATTGGATTGATTGAATCACTCCCGTGGATTTGTCGTAGTAACCCTCGACAGATAACAGATACTCGACCGGATGGTTAATCTCAAACTACGTAAAAGATATATATATTAAAAAAAAAGATTATGATGCCAATATAATTGGATATATGAAGATATCAAGTTAATACACAATATTACGTGAAAATCATGACTAAACTTTTGTAAACCTCAAGTTCCTTTTGGTAATATAATTAACATTTTATCAAAAAAAAAAAAAATACACAATATTACGTACCGTTTGTGTCATACCAAGATCAGAGACACCATGGATTGGTCCAACAATCTTTTGTCCAGCCTTGACGTACTCAAACTTGATGTACTGAATGCCTTGTTGACTAGCTCGTACATGTATCTTTGTTACACCCTCATAACCGAATTCATCATCCCATTCATTCCCTCCATTTCCACCCTTAGCTTCAACTCTTAGGGCCATTGCGCAGCGATTCAGATCTTCAAGTAAATAGAATTTTTGTTTTAGTCATCAGTTAATTTAAAGGAAAAATTCAAAATCATTTGTAGAAACAATGATTGGTAATTTGACGATTTCATACAATTTTTAGGTGATTGGTAATTTGTGAAAAATACGTTGGAAATTTTCCAACGGCTAAATTCCGTCAGAAATTTCGTCGGATTTCGCCATGTTTTCTTGTAGTAACTGTTTCTTGTGTTAAAAGTAAAATGTTTTAACTACTATATATATAACCATTAGAACATGGAGATTTGTTTCCTAAAAAAAATCTACATAAT